TATTAGAACCATGATACAAGAATAATAGTTTCCTGTGGCTGCTGTAACAAGTACCACAGACTAAGCAGCTTAAAACAATAGAAATTTATTCTCTCACTGTACTAGAGACCAGAAGTCCAAAGTCAAGGTGTCAGCAGAGCCGTGCTCCCTCTGAAAGCTCCAGGGGAAGTCCCTTCCTTGCCTCTTTTAGTTCCAGGTAGCCCCAGCCATCCTCAGCATTCCTTGGCTTGTAGCAGCATCATTCCAATCTCTGCCCCCATCTTCATATGGTCTTTTCTCTGTGTGTCTCTGTGTGTCCTCTCCTCTTCTAAGAGGATTTCAGTCACTGGAATCCAGTGCCATCCTAATCCATTATAACTAGTATTTCAGAAAAAAAAAAAAAATCACCATTAAGGATTTTTTTAAAGAAATTTCAGATTAATCACTACTCTGAAGTCATTGACTTTCCATCCTGTTTCAACAAGAACACTAGGGATTCATGAGAGATGTAAAAGTGAAATCATAAAAGACCACCGATGCGCAATATCATCAACCTCAATTTACAAGGCGATGTATCTGTATAATCAGGAGATTTTTACCTTAGTCAATGTTGCATCTTTGAAACCCCAAACCCCAAGCTGAGTGTGGTGCCGCCTTGGGCTCTGTGCAAAGTCGGGGCCGTAGGCATGACTCCTGCCCTTTAGAACCTCCTATTGTGCACTTTTATAGAGATGAGAGTAAAATAAAATTCATTAACCATGACACAGTGACAGGGGCCTGCACTCCAGTGGCCCGAAAGCTTGGCTGAACATCCCAGGAGTGCCAAGTGACTACGAGCCTTCAAATTCTCTTTGCCTTGAAGCCAAAGAAGGAGGGGACCCCGAGGATTAGCACAGAGAAGGACCAGGGCTGGGGACTCTGCAAGGAGAGCAGAGGACTCTGTGATCTAGGTCTTTCTGGTCTCTAATCACATACACAAAGAAGCTAATGACGGGTCGAGGGTGTGGGCCTCCCTGCCCTCCTCTCTAAACAGGTGGCCTCGTTCCCCTGCTGGCTGCAGGAGGCTGTGACTTGTTCCCTGGGCCTCCAGGAGCTGAAGCCCAGGAGATACCTTACGTCAGCTCCTCCCCGAGGTGGATGCCTTCTTCAGTCCTGTGCCTTCTTTCATCTGGATAACAGCTCACCACGTCCTTTTGCGTTTTATTGCAGGTACGTGTGCTGAGATTCTTTTCATATGGGTCTGGTCTTCCTGTCCCTACTACGTGTCCCTCAAGGGACTAAAGCTTTCCACACACTAGCTCGACACACAGAGCCATAGTCTGGGGCCAACAGGACTTTCTCAGACACTGCATACATACACTCAGTGCAAGCACAGGCCAGGGTGGAACGTGTGGCCCGGGGTGCCCGCATGCACACGTGGGCAGGCATGCTCACACACCTCCATGGGCACAAGCAGGCTCCCTCCCCTCCATGGATGTGGCAGATGCTGACCCAACCCAGCTGTCCCTAATGTACTCCCCCTACTCACGGGGTGGGGGGGCTCTGAATACCCCTGTGCTGCTTCCTGAGAAGGAAACAAGCCGGCTCCTCCCTCAACCCCCTGTCACAGGACCATACACAGGTCCCTCCCATCCTCGGAGAAGTACAAAAGCTTATTTTCTGATACCGTTTCTCACCCCTATACATCACCCCACTCTGGCCCCTCTGGGCGCCCCGGCCCTCCAGCCTCACCCACTCAACACGGAGCTGGCAAATCACTTGAGCCGAAGAGTGAAAGGTGAAGCTGGGTCGGTCCCCAGTCCTAGGAATCAGAGCCTGACCCACAGGGATGACCCCCAAGGGGTGGGGTTCTATTGGCCGCAGTCGGCAGGGAGGGAGGGAGGGAGGGAGGGAGTTTTCTCTCTGCAGGTATTTTTCTGCAGAGTCTCCACCCTCACCCACAGCCACTAGGGACAGAGAGCACCAGCCCCTCGGCCCCATCGGGGCACCGCAGCCAGGAGGACCCCGCAAGGGGCCCCACAGCGAAGGCCATCGACAGGAGCCCTGAGGCCCAGCAAGAGGCTTCCCTCTGAAGGTCCCCGCCTCGGCCAGCCTCAGGGGCCCTGGGACTGAGGAGGGGAGGGCAAAGCTCACAGTCCCTCCCGCTGCCGCCAGCTGCCGCCAGCCCCACCAGCCCAGGGGACAGCACCTGTCTCTAAGCCCCTCTTCCTTCCCCTCCAGCCCAGGCCTCAGAGCTTTAAGGGGAACCAGCCGCCTCCCTCCGGGGATCTGCGGGCCTCGGACTCCCTCTTCTGGTGAGGCGAGAGGAGCGGGCGGAGCCCAGAGCACAGGGCTGGGCCTGAGGCCGAGCTGGGCAGGCGTCCCATGTCCCCTCGCTGTCCCCTTCTGGGCACCCAGGGACCTCAGACTCCTTCAAAATGCTTCTCCTTCCCTTTCCTAACAAATGGACAAGGGACAGCACTGTCTCCTCTCAGGCTCAGTGCCTCAAGTGGGCCACTCAGTGTCCCCTCCCCACAGGGCAAAGAGACAGCCGCCTTAGGGCTCCTGGAGAAACGTCCTGCTTGTAGATTTTCAACAGGAGGAAAGTAAGCCCATTCCTGAAACTCTGACAGATGTGATGGGATTAAACGGGGCGTTTTGTATCTCCATTTCTGTGCTCAGAACACAACAGCAGGTCCCGAGCACTTGCCCAGGTTCAAATGAGGCGCTTAGCCCGTGAGCGGGAGTAGCCTAGGCCGTGGGAAAGGCCGTAAATGATCCCGGTCCTCTTTCTACCTCCAGAGATCCTGAGAGAGACCCTTGACAGGTTCTGTTCCCGGTCAAGGGCACATACCTGGGTTGCAGGTTCGATCCCCAGCCCCGGTTGGGGCGGATGTGAGAGGCAACCAATCGATGTGTGTCTCTCACATCAATGTTTCTCTCTCTCTCATCCGCCCTCCCTTCCACTCTCTCTAATAATCAATGGACAAAATATCCTCTGGTGAGAATTAATACATATGTATATATATATTTCCTCCCCTCCCTGGACTCCACTCGCCCTGGATGCTTCTTGCCTTTGGATAATTAAGTGACAGAGGCAGAAACTCCGTGTCTGAACGTCCTTCCTCTGGGGTCTCTGTCACTGCACTTTAGCCTGGACCTTAGTTAACCCAACCAGTGACTCCTGCAGGCTCTGGTCATGGACACTGGAGATCCCCGTGGGCTTGGTTTCTCCTTAGGGTCCTGGGGACTCCGGAGTGGAGCCCTGTGACACTAGTTTACAAGTTCAGGGTTGAGATTTTCCTTATTTCCGGACACCCTGGCTGCTGGTAGACGAAGGGTACTGACTGTTTTGCCTTCAGTCTCATTTTAGAGCAGCTTTGCAAATAAAGGCAATTGGCCCACTCACCTTCCAAGAAAGACCTGGCCTGTTTCACTTACCCTGGGAGAACAGGTTCCTGACCTCTAGGTGAGTGACACTTGTGAGCCCAAGAGTGGATTCTGTAGACTCTAAAGTGCAGTGCTCTTTCCTACGACAGCATCTGTTTCCCCGCAGGGCCCCCGCATCCAGGTTTGGGTCCCGCACCCACGCACCGCTCATCTTTAGAAGCACGCCGAGCAATGACTCAGCAGCCCCGGTGTTTATGGGCTAAGGAAGGTAAGTCGTCCGAGGGTAAAAGCAAATGTGGGGCCCTTATCTACTAATTGAATTCTGATAAAGCTGAGGGTTAAAGAGGATGGGCGTCATGAGTGGCTGGGAAAACCATTTGAATTTTTTTCTTATGATGACTTTCCACGCATCTTTTAAGAAACGTTTTACTCACCATAAAACCCTTAATCTCAACCCACTGTCCAATCCAAATCCCTGCAGGACCCTTTGGGGCGGTGCTTCGGGGCTTTGGGCAGAAACAAATGGCAAGGGGCACAGGCCCAGCATTGTGGGGTGTAATCTATAATTTATTTCATGGTTTCTCAGCAGTGGCATTCATGACCAAGTAATCTTTTGTTGTGGAGGGATAGGGGGCTGTCCTGTGCATTGTAGGGTGTTTAGAGGCAGCCCTGGCCTCTACCCACTAGATGCCGGTAGCTTCCCCAGCCAGTCTTGACAATCCAAACTGTCCCCAGACACTGCTCAGTTGTGCAGTTGTCCCCTGGTTGAGAACCACTGCTCTAGATGAATCCCACGGAGCGGGAGTCACTGCTGCACCCCCAGGGCCTAGCACAGTGCCTGCCTCATAGTAGGAGCTCAATAAAGACTTGTTGAGTGAATAGCTGGGCAAGAGTTCGGAGGGGTGCACCCAGGCCCAGCCCTGCAGAGGTGCCCACTGGGTGGGTACAGCACACGCAACAGTGTGTGCTCAGCTCTCCTGCTGCAGGGAGCATGTGGACTGACGGCCACCAGCATGTCCAGGCCAGGGCCAGGCTTCCCACAGGTGCTCCCAGCCAATGACCTTGCCTGGTGGGGTACGAATGCAGAACAATTCCCACAAGACACAGGATCCCTCCCACAGTGATTTTGGCTGAGGGACACCCAACAGGCTGGCCAGAACGTTCTTGGAACTGCACTGCCATCGGAGACTCCCCCTGCCCACTCCCCCTTCCCCGGAGGTCAGCCCAGCTTCATGGCCTGAAGGCCTCACCCCCTTCTCCAGATCCTACTCTTTATTTATGGGGTTTCCCCAACAAATCCCTTGGTGGATGCGAACAACACCCCTGGCTTTCTAGAAGGTGCCCTTCCCCAGCCCCTTTGTCAAAAACAACAAAGAAGACATGAGTTTAACTCATAAGTAATAGCTCATAAATAACTGAGAAAACCAGACACACTAACACTTTAGTCCAAGGGACTGTTACAAGTTCACCTTTTATCGGGGTTAAGGCAGCAGGTAAAACCATTTGGTCCGCATGCCTTTCTTCTGCCCAAAGGAGGAAGGTTGGGGGGGAGGGAGGGCACTGGCCACTGGGAGCCCAGACAAAGCACTCTTCCCCCAAATGCACCCCATCTTGTCTCTCGGCCCCCAAGTATGATCTTAATGCACTTTGGTTCGAGAGTGTCTGTGGCCCCATCCAGCGGAGACTGCCAGGAGCACCTGCCTGGTCCAAGGCCCCTGGCTCAGCCAGCTTGCCCCTAGGCCAGGCTCTCCCAGGGGCAGATGACCTCCTTCTTGATGGCCTGGTCACCCGATGCTCCTGTCCCACTGTCCTCTGAGTCCATCAGGCAGGTTCCACTCCCCACAGGCACATCCATTTTGATCTGGAAAAAGCTTCAGACACAAGAGGAAAGCGAGTATGGGGGGTGCAGGGAGAATACCAAATAGGAAGAATCAGTAGACATGTACACCCTCAGACCATGTGTACACATACATGCATGCACACACCACACACATATGCGCACATATACATGCACACACCCACAGACATGTGTACGCGCCCATACATGCATGTGCACGCACAGAGACATAAGTGCACCCATACACATATGCCCACTCCAACAGACATGTGCACGCCCACAGGCATGTGTGCGTATACATGCATGCACAGCCTCACAGGCATGTACACATGTGCAAACCCACAGACATATACACACATGCACACGCCCACAGACATGCACACACATACATGCATGGGCACACTCACAGACATATGTGCGCACACACACACGCACAGCTCCCTCTGGTTCTTACTTTGTCACTCTCCTGGATTTCAGCCGTGGCAGCTGCTGACCCACATCCCCTAGGGGCTGCACCTTCCCATGGGGCACAGGGCGGCACTTGGGCGAGAGCCTGGCAAAGACCGGGGAGGCTAGACAGCCTCGTCTCAGAAAACTGCTGAAGGACACAGCCATGCGGGCTTTGAGGGGGGCCCTGGGCGGGGGCCGGGGCCAGGGGCAGTCAGTGGAGGCCTTGCAGGTGTCTGCATTGGAGGGTCCTTGGCCAGTACCGGATCCACCAGCCTCCCCCTTCTGCTCTGAGCCCAAGGGGCTCTCCAAGGCCACCGTAATGGGCGAGGGGCAGACGGTGCTGCTGGGCCTCCGGATGAAGCGGCCTGGAGAGGGGAAGGGCTTCCTGGGGGAGCGGCAGGAGGCAGAGAAGGGGCTGGAAGGAGAGGGGGGCATGCAGGTTCCTGTGTACACGGCTAGGTGGGGGCTGGGAGCGGTGTGCTGGCCGGGCTGCAGGAAAGGAAAGAGAGAGCTCAGAGTGAATTGGGTGGCTGGTCAACGGGCCCAGGGGCTGCCCTCTGATAACATAGCCCCTGCCAGTGCCCAAAGCACAGGTCTGGTATGGCTGTCCCCTGGGAAGTTGGGAAAGGTGCTCAAAGCCACCTGTGACAATGGCACAGCCACACAGGCCTCCTGCCAGGGGGCTAGCCTGTCCCCAAGCCTGGCCATGGTCCCCAGACTTGGCCACTTGCATCCCAGGGCACAGACTGGTCATCCTCCAAGCCTGGGATGCTGAGGTGTGGCCAGGTAAATTTCTAATTGCCCCTCAATTTCAGTCCCCCAGTGAGCAATGCTTGGGACCTGCCACATACCGGCAACCCTTCTCCACCCTTCGTTCCCAACCTAAGGACTGGAGGCATTTAAAACATTTTTAATAGTGACAGAGACGCCAGGAGAAGCCCCAGCTTGTACCTGGCTGACTCTTCCAGGTCTGCGACCACCATCTTGACCTGAACCACTACCTGCGTCCACACCGACACCTGGGGGATGGCCTGCACCCAGCACTTCCTGTGCCTCCCTCGGG